ATTATAGTAATTAATTAAATAAAAATAATTAGCTTCTAATAATTGATAGAAAGAAAATTTGACAAGAGTGCAAATGTACAGGAAATTTTATACATATATACATATATTTCAGTAGATAGAATTTTTAGACAGATTTTATTTTAACTTTATATTCTACTTTATTTTCATTTTGAATATAAATATTGGAAAATATATGCGTATTATTATTATATATAGCACGAAGAGAGTGAACGATGTGATAAAGACAATACGGTTTGTGATAGACATATTTTTTTGTGCAGTTTAAATAATTGGAGGGGATAACTAGATCTAACTAACGTTTAGAGAAAACTAACGTTTACAAATTGTTTAAATAAAAATATTGTAAATAATACATTTAACAGTTGGTCGAATTTTTTATATTTTATTAGAAAGGAAAGTATTATATTTTTTCTTTGAATATTATTTGTTAACTATTATTTTTATTCAATGTGTTAATAGAATTGAATAAAGACATTTTTAAAACGAATAATAAATTTAGATAACAAAAATCCTGTATAAAGACATTTTTATCATAATCATTAAGATCGTTTGATTCAGTGATTCTTGTATTATATATTTAGCGCGTTATAGGTATTAGGAGTACTTGAATTATCGAGTACTTGAATTTATTCGCATAATAAATTTGCCTGTTCACGGTTATTCACAGTCCCAAAAAGAGGATATATCAGTAACGTATTAAATTTCTAAAAGTTGGCTGGTGTCATTCGCCGAGGGTTGTAAATCCATAGACTCTATCCCGCTTGTTCCATTAAAACAATGTACTTTCCGCGCGAATATTTCTCTAAGAAATATTTCTCTAAGAATAATGATATACAGTTTGCGTGAAAAAGGAACTGATAGACTTTCTTCCCTTTTACGCGTAAAATGTGCACGTTATAACAATTCAGATGAACATGGAATGATGTGATGCTTTTAAATTATTTTAACAAAAATTGCGTTTAGTTTCGCGCTTTTACTCGGATATGTGCTAATCGTTCGAGAAGAAATTAGACAGCATCAGCGAAAGAATTGAATTATAAATATAATATAGTGGATATTTTAGTTACGTATTATATATGGTAGATGTTTTGATTATATGAATTTGTCTAAAAAGAAAATATTTTTTTATTTATATTTTTGTTTCTTAGATGGAATAGCTTGGTCATATTTGATTCTTTAATAAATTTGTGATTCTTTAATAAAATACATATTAGATAGAATAAAAAATACAAATTTTTTTCTCCAAATGGTGTTCCCATAAAATCGCTGCTCATAAAATAATTAGGAGATTGTAAATTTCTTCAATTGCGTTTTGAAATAAAATGTAAGAATGTTATATTATTTTTTCTTTACATCGAAGTGTTTGCTTCCTTTTGTATAACATACGCTCATTTAAATTTTATCTTATTGTATATTAAAATATACATGTTCATGTTTTTTTACAGTTATTTTTACGATGACGAGTTTGATGCTTAAGGTTGGAAAATTTTAACAGTTAGCAGCAAGGTATCTTTTCGTTTATCATAACTTTTGTACAAACGTTGATGTATCGCGGAATATCACCCATACGTGCTGCATTTCGTGTGATTGACGAACTTAGAAAAGGGTCGATTTTTTTCTCATGTCCGTCATCCAATACAATTAAAGTGTCATTCGTCATGATGAATAAGAACTTACGTTACAAGCATAATATAATAGAAAAGAAAAAATATGAAAGAAATGAAAAAATGAAAAAGAAATCTTGGCAAATCCTTTGTGCAAAAGCTGTCAGTTTTTGTATTTATCTTGTTCGTACGTGCGTATGTAAGTATATGATTAATGACCAAAATTACTTATATGTGTGTCGCGATAAAAACGTGCAATAAAAATATTTTTGTTAAATTATTAGATCGTAACAAAAACATGAAGTAAACGCTTATTTATTTTTATTTTGATAAAATAATCGTAATTTTTTTTTTAAACTAATATTTGTCGTTGCGACAATTACATTTGCAATTTTATATAATATTTTGTGTAATTACTATATAATATAAGAATTAAATAAATTGTTTGTCTGTGTTTAAATAATTGCGTTTGAAAGTATATATTGCATATGTAATTTACGCACATACGTAATACATGTAATAGGAAACACATACTTGCGCTTCTTCTCTTCATTTATAGAAATTTAATTTTATCCTAGCACCGATTTTTGCTTAACCATTGTCACATAAATTTACAATTTCTTTCAATCGTCGGTGCAATGTTGATAGAACGATAGTCGATGATAGACTGAAAGATTTTCGCGTACTATTCAGCCGAGCCCTTTTGAAATTTACCACGCGCAGACTCACGGGATGTCAGGCGCAGAATGCCTGGGTGTCCCGCGTTGGAGGGATCTGACGTATTCATATGAAACTAAAAAAAAAAAAGAAAAAAGGAAAGGACTGATAACGTACTAACATGGATACACGCGTAGATGACGTATAGAAAATCAAAATGCATTCCATGCGCATTCGTTAACATTAGGTTCGAAAATATCCGAGCGCAATATCGATCGCTCTACTATCGTCGTAACTCTAAACTTACGATTGCACCGCACGTGTAAACTCCACCGTATTATTCTTTTCAATGAGTGATTCTGTTTCCGAGGGAAATGTCGAGACATTTGTAGCTTTCGAATAATACCTATAGACAACTGAAAACAGTTCGTAACGGATAAACTTTGTAAAATTGTAATTTTTTGTTTATTTAATCTTGAATAAAATATATTTTTTACTCCTCCAAAAAAACCTCCATTCTGAGGTTACGAACTGAAAAAATAGAACCAAAAAGTGATTGCGAATGTTGAAAAATATAATTATGTAGGTCGCTGCCAAATTGAGATAAATTTTGAATTTTACAATGAATGCTTGCTCCAAAAAAGTTACGTTTCGTTTCTTTTGTTACGACATATTGAAAGCCTTAGGCACCGTTAATTCCATTTGCAGAGAGGAAGGAAGGAAGTAATTGTCGCGTGACTTTACACTAATGATCGGGGTTAAGCTCGGACCTAGCGAAGAACGAGATAACTTTTCCACTTCTGTGTGTGTCTTTCCTCTCTGTCCATTTCCCGATAAATCTCGGAAATGTAGGCGAAACACTTGAGAGGATACAACTGATAGAACTTGACGAGTTAGTGCAAGTTCTACTAATTGATATACTGAATTTTCTAACGATTGTTTAATGACAGTATTTATAATTAATTGACATTCAATTATGCGAGTGAAATTTTATTCAGTATAGTAAAATACATTACAGTATAATGAAATAGGTGCTCAATATAGCATATTCTTTTTATGTATTTTATATATCTATTTAATCTTCTTATAATATCTTTTGTATATTTGATATACGTATAAGATATTCCGATGTTATAGGGCTGTAGGGTCTCAATCTCTTAACCTTTGCATGATAGATATACCATATTGCTTATGAAGGCCTAGGGAGGTAAAAAAAACATATTTTTTTTCTTTCAGACATTGGCATTATAAGAAAATATGTTAGCAGTATCATATGATTAACATATTTGGTATTTGTTCGTAAGAAATAAAAAAATAATTAAATTAAAAATGTTTATATTAATTAATTTTAAAACAAAGTTTTTGCATATACGCTCTTTTCCCAGTTTTGTATTTTATTATTTTCTTTTAATTCTGTTGGACGGGGTGAAGGAAAGTGAAGTATCATTTTTCAAATAAATAGCTTTGAGATTCCCTTGAGATATAAAACCATATCATAATACCTCAAGATTGACGTCCCGTTAGGAATAAACAACAGAAATAGTTAAAATGCCACTTTCAGATGACACAAGATTAATATATCGATGATACAGTGAAATTCGCGGCGATTTCGTGAAGTAAGCATGACGAGTAAACGTTGCATGAAACTTAATGAAACGCGATATGATAGCGTCTCTGGGGATGGAGTCTCTTTCTTGGAAGTAAGATTGGGAGTCCAACATAAATGGAACCCAGATTGAACGAGGGAAAGCGTAATTTACGCGGCAAGTAGCTCTATTTTCTCATCTGTGATATCTTATATTTTCTTATTTAGCATTCTCTTTTCATATGTTGCTAGTTTCGACCTTGAGCAACATGGATATTACGCAACACGGTTATTTACTATTCCTTTATTTGTCACACACATTATAAGACTTTTATGTATGTTTTCTTTCTCTCTCTCTCTCTCTCTCTCTCTTTCAAGCTGAGATTACATATTATTATTCATAGCCTAACGGTACAAAATTACGACTCTTGCGTGTTTGTCCAAATCATTAAAATTCTTTGTGAATATTTTTATTATTTGTACAACAAATTGAATTGTAGGCAGTTTTATGTAATACGCAGTTTTGTTTTATTTTATTATATTTATTACATGTATAATTATATTATACTAAAATAATTATTTTCACATTATGAGGAGAATTTCGAGATTAACAATCAATAGATCTTGTAGCTTCAGAGGCGTATTGGACTTTATGTATACTTATTTATTATACAATTAAGAAAAAGGTAAACAAATCTTAATGTCTAATAGCATTTCTATATAATTGTGCACATTTTTCTAGTTTTCAAACTGCGCGTTGATTACTGTCGGATTTATAACGCAATCATAATTTGAAATAATCTTACAAATCAAATCATCAATTTTAATGATAATGCTAATAGCAACTCAATACATGTAAATAATTTATTGTGAAAAAATTGCCTTCTAAATATTACATTAAATTATATCAATACATTTTGTTTGTTTTTATATAAATTGTGTAGGCATCGATATATTTGCTATTCTAGTTAACGTTTCACTACTTAACCTGAAGTAGTAATATACTTTAAATTGTCTTAATGAACTTATTTTTCGGCTACATCTTTTCTAGGAAATTCTTATTACCATTCATTATTCATCGATTTGTACCAATTTATTTAATCTAATCTCATTATTCTCCCTTATCGTTCCAGGACTTTGAACGAGAGTTTCCTAAAGAAATGGGGCGTGATACCGATGTCCGAATATTCGGATCCTTATCATAAAAGGTAAAAATAGACGCGTAAAAAAAATTTTATTTAATCAATCAAATTCAAACTTAAAAAAAAAATTTCAGACAGATTGTTCGTTATTGATACATGAGATACATCCTGTAAGATTTGCTTTAAGTATGAAATCGTTTGTTGTTATTTAACTATATATTATACTCTATAATTCTCAAAATTCCTATAATAATTTATTTTCCTTTGCGCGTAGACCAATGACAATGGGCGAGATTGGCTGTTTTTTGAGTCACTACATCATATGGCAAAAGGTAATATAGAAAGCATTCTTGAATGGAAAAAATATTGTTAATTACTAAACGTAATATTGTATATGTATATCAGATACTAGAGCACGGTTACAAAAACGTTATGGTATTGGAGGATGATGTTCGCTTTGAGCCATTTTTTCGAGAGAAAGTCGATTACGTTTTGGCGGAATTGTCTAATCTCAGACTTGAATGGGATTTGATGTAAGTCTTTTAGCAAAATTTATTTCGCAATTGTTTTATTGCATTGTTTTATAATCCGATCTTGATCAGTTTTCTACGATCCTACAGTTTATCTTATTTAAAACTGGCATACAAAAAATAGTATAGTTATATTGAACGAAGAAGAAAGAATAACATAACAAAATTCAAGCCTTGTACTCGCTTGCAATTATAGTAGTTATAAAATTGCTTTAATAATTTTCCCGTTTTTTTGAATTTTATGGATAATGAAAGAAGATGTATTTGGTGAAAGTTAGCTCTGAGAGACAATCGGGTCTAAAATTGGCACGTTACATTTTTTTACAATTTTATTTTAGATATATGGGAAGAAAAAAGTTGGTAAAATCAGAAAATCTAGTGGAAGGATCTAAATTCCTGGTACAAGCAGGATACAGTTACTGGACTCTTGGTTACATCTTGTCGGAAAACGGAGCAAAGAAACTGATCGATGCTATGCCTCTCGGGAAATTAATTCCTGTTGACGAATTCCTTCCCATTCTTTCGGACAAGCATCCTGAGTATGTGGAATGATTGATAGTTCATAGTTTCAAACATTTATATCTTTCATATTTCGCGAATAAATCAATATCTTTATTTGCACGAAAAAGATATTGATTTTGAGTAATATATGGTCTACTCTCGCCGGTTTTACAGATATAAAACTATCTATATGAAAACGGCGGGAGCAAACTTGTAGACCAATACATTAAAATAAATTCTATAAAATTCGATCGAACATTCTAAAAGTTGCGATTTCACATTATATAATGTATCCTTAACAAGAATGACTTGGACGAATTTTAATATTTATTTTGATATTTTACTAGGAAACAATGGGCGTCTCAATTTCCTACTCGAGATTTGATTATCTTATCTACCAATCCACTTTTAATTTATCCGTCGCATTACACCGGTGAGGATGGACACATTAGCGATACGGAAGACTCGAAACTTGTGCATAATACTTTTACGCCTATAGATAATTTGGAAAGTAGAGAAGAACTATAATTAAAGAGAAACCATAAGATAAAAAAAAATAGCAATTTGTCTAGTCGATAAAATTTGCCAATAATCCATTTTATATTAACAACAAATTAAAAAAATTTTTAACGTAAATACTTATACTGCCATTACATTGCCATATATCATTAATTTGTAGTTTATAATTGATTAGTGTATAAAATGGAGCCATTTTAATGCCAGTTTTTTTATTATTATACAAACAACAATAGTAATGCAGTGGCGAAAGTAAATACCTCCCTGCGTTGATCTTACCTCGCCACGCACTTATACTAAGCTCAAACGATTCAAAGATATTTAGGAATTAATTTCTTGTTAATTATTGCGAAAATTGTAAATTTATACAGGACTTTTTTATTCAATTCAGCCTATCTATGAGAAATGATGTAGTCGTTATCAGACATTCATATATCTATGTACAGAAACAGCCTATATATTTCATATATATTTTTTAGTTTAGATTTCTGCATTACTGCTATGAATTTTTCAACAATCAATTTGAGTATTTTAATTTATTGACTTGCAACATTATGATAATGGAGAAAAACATGAATACCATTATAAAGTAATATATTTTATAGATTTTCAATTATTTATAATTATACTATATTTGTATTGTAACATTGTGAATTACCCAAACGGCGACGAAACGTTTATTTATGTAATTATCTTTATTTTTGTTTTTAAATTAAACGTTTTTTAATACATAATTGGCTCTTAGCTCTCTAACTGTTCTATTTTGTTACATATTTTTTCACGAAAGAGGAAGATGCCATAATTTTATAGATTCGTTTGAAAAAATATTTGTTCAAGTATAGGTATTATATGAATGTAAATATATAAAACTTTTATGTGATATCGATTTATATGATATGTGGGAATAATATAAATCGCTTGCAAAACATTGCATAAAACATGCAAAAGTGTTTTTTATATATTTACGTATATTGTATGTATTAATATTGTAAAAAATAGTTGAATGTATACCATGTAAAAATGTGGGAAATAAAAAATTTTTCAGATATTTTATTAATTATCAATATATAAAAATCTCCATTGAAGAAAAAGCAGAAAACAACGTATCGACTAAGTCACGCAAAGGCAAATATAGCTTTATCAAAATGAGTTTTATCGCGTATTTAACTGTCTCCCTCCCTACATGCGCTCTTGTAAATTTCATTCTCACGTATGCTCACTGGAAGGAGCACCAAGCAGGAAAAATAGTACGTCAGGGATCGCATTGGGGGGGATATGCACACAAGCTGTACGAGTCAGGAGTCAGTACTAAGTAGTCGATCAGCAATCATGAATATCAACTTCGAAGGAAAGCGCATTCTTGTGACCGGCGCTGGTCAAGGTACGTTTTTGTTTTCCATATTAATCTCATATGATTTCGTGAATTTGAATGCTTCTGTGTTAATGTTTCTCAAAAAATACTTTTTAAAATAAAAAAATCGCTACTGCAACTTCTCTTAAGGTGACCCTACACGGTCAATAATACTGATCAGTAATATTGAATCAGTAATATTAACAGTACACAACAATATTTTTAGTATTTTTACAATCTTACGATTAGTATTATCTATTGATAATGCATATCACTTTAATTTTACGTATATTATTTATTGCACTATGATGTACTATAACATAAATTCTAATACAAACCATACTGACGCTCAAAATTTAGACACTGTCAGTATTCTACAATCAATTTTATTAATCTATTTCTTCAATAAATCTATTTTTTCAATCCATCAATATTAATCATACACGATCATTTATATTATCAGTATTTGTTAATCTTGACATATTATTGGCTGTGTAGGGTCACTTTTAAATATATTGTATCGCTGTTGTTATAGTTTACAGTTGACTTAGCATTGACATCAATAAAATCGACAATGTAAGATAACACAATATTGAAGAAGCAAAACAGCGCAGTAATACCTTAACTTAAAACATTGTATTTTATTGACAAAGGTTAAAATAAATCTGATCTATTTACAAGAGAGAAAGAGAAAGATTATAAAAAAATCAATCGATATCACATAACATAAAAGAATCTTTTTTTGCGTGGAACATTGATAGATTTATTTAGATTGAATTAATAGTATTATTAATACGTATAATGAAACATACATGAGGCTTTCGATTTTTGAAATAATTGTAAGTAGATATATACGAATAGATATTTTATTTTGTGATAAAATATATATTTATTTCGTTAACACATATATAAATTGTACGCAGGAATCGGGAAGGAAATAGCCCTTCGTCTCTCCAAATATAAAGGACAGGTATTTGCGCTCTCGAGAACAAAAGAGAACTTAGATAGCTTGGTGGCGATTGATCCGAAGATTAAGCCTATTTGCGTCGATCTTTGTGATTGGGATGCGACTAGGAAGGCTGTTCAAAGTATCCTGCCAATCAATTTGTTGGTCAACAATGCTGCTGTCGCGCATCTTCAACCATTCTTGGATATCACGCCCAAGATATTTGATTTAATTTTCGATGTCAATGTGAAGGCTGCACTGAATGTGTCCCAGATTGTAGCCGAGAGCATGATCAAACTCAAAAGTGGTGGCAGTATTGTAAATGTATCATCGCAAGCTGCTCAGGCGGCATTGAAAGATCATGCCGTTTATTGCATGTCGAAGGCAGCACTTGATATGTTGACAAAGTAAGATAATTGTTAATATCCCTGTAATTTATAAAACGAAATTTTAATATTTAACCGATGTGTTTGGCAATTATAGCAAAGATCGGCAATTTGTCGTGAATCAATTTTTATGAACATAACGTTGAAAAATTAGAAAAATATAAAAGAATTCAATTAAATTTTCCATATTTATAAATTTGATGTCGACTTTTTCTTAATTTAGATTAGAAAAGGTTAATTAAAATTTTGTTAAAATAAAATGTTGAATGAGATTATGTAAATGCTACTTAAATTTTTTTTCAGTCTTTTATTATTTAACACTGTATTATAACTACATCTAATATTTTAGAAAAAAGTATATTAATTTTAATTTCATGTTTTTGATTTTTGGAACATCGTATAGTTTTTGCATCTTGTGATATTTTAGAACGATGGCTCTCGAACTAGGGCCTCACAACATAAGAGTTAATAGTGTCGGTCCTACAGTCGTGATGACGGAAATGGGAAAATTGGGTTGGAGCGATCCGCAGAAAGCACAAAGTATGATCAACAAAATTCCGCTCGGTCGATTCGCTGGTATGTTTCTTGGATATTTTTTTATCGAGATTTAAGAAATTAACAAATGTAATCTAATTTAATTTATTATTTTTCCATCGAATTAATATAACGTGTGAAATGTATTTTATCCGTATGTGAATAATTCGTAAATCTTACGCTCTATAAATGTTAATTCATAATCTGTTTGTCACTCATAATAGCAATAGCTACATAATTTAAATTTATCGTGTACAAATCTCTATCAAATGAATTTTTCAATTATATGTAGTAATTGTCTTTATAGGAATTAAAACATTGTTCGTTAGTTCGGGATCATACGACGGTATGATACCTAATGTTCAATTATGTAATATGAGTCACAAATGTTTTATCATTCACTAAATGGAAGATTTTCGTATCAACATGATGTACTGACATATGACCGGTCGGTATAAAAAGAACATAATCAGTAACTGACAGTTAGCATTTGATATGTAATATTTTTATGACACACACACAAAAATAGAAATATTTAAATTAATAATTTTAAAAAATTTAAATTTGACTTACTACGATTAATTGTACATTTAATTAATTAAAAATATTATATATAAAACTATATATAATAGATAGTTTTAACTAATTAAATATATACAGAATGTCCCAGTACCTCTATTACCGTTAATGATACGCGAATATGTTTAAGGAAGAAATTGTTTGATTCAGAGGGGGACATGTTTTGGAAACCTTGTTTTTTTCTAGGTCAAGGTGCCAAAAAGATACGAAGGTCACTTCCTTTTTTTTTAATGGAAATGTATAATTTTTTCTACACAATGTGATTCTTCTAATTATTCTACATATAAAAGTAGATATATATGGCAGATATATAAGGTAGATGTATTAAAAACTCAATAGTTTACGACATATTTTATACTTTATTCTGGCATATGTTGACATAAAACGTTAAATATCTCGTAAACTAATTTTTGGTATATCTACCTTAGTACTTTTATATGCAAAATAATTAGAGAAATCATACTCGTGTAAAAAAAATTTATACAATTCCATTTAAAAGGTCGAGGTGACCTTCATATCTTTCGCCGCCACCTAGAAGAAAAACAAGGTGAAAATATATCCCTCTCCGAATCAAACAATTTCTTCCTTAGACATTTTTGCATATCATTAACGGTAACAGAGACATTGCTTAGTAACAGAGTTCCTGGGACACCCTGTATATATACATGTAGGTATTTTATAAATTTTTGTACTTATTTTTTCGTCGGTTTACAAGAATTCAAACTATCGCGTCTAATATTATATTTTGTATATTAGTTACAAAAGAGCAAAGAATTTTTTAATCGGATCAAAATATTATATTGCAGATGTCGATGAGGTGGTGGATCCTGTTGTATATTTATTAAGCGACCGAAGTTCTATGATTAGTGGTGCCAGCTTGCCCATCGATGGTGGTTTCTTAGCTACATAAATAAAAAATTAGTTATTTTAAAAAAGAAAAAAATGGTCTATTATTATACCACGGATACAATAATCTCTATTTCCAAAATTTTAATATATGTGAAAATTATGTAGTAAATATTAGTAATTATTTTGTTATGAAAGATACAATTTTATGTTGCACATAAAAGAACTAATAAAGATTACTGCAATATATAGTTATGTAATATCCACAGATACAAATGTATGTTCGCAAAAAGAAACACAAAATCATTGTAAAAAATTATAGAATAGACCAATATGTATGAACAGCTTTTCGGGGATCAAAATTTCTTATACAATAATCTCTATTTCCAAAATTTTAATATATGTGAAAATTATGTTGTAAATATTAGTAATTATTTTGTTATGAAAGATACAATTTTATGTTGCACATAAAAGAACTAATAAAGATTACTGCAATATATAGTTATGTAATATCCATAAATACAAATGTATGTTCGCAAAAAGAAACACAAAATCATTGTAAAAAATTATAGAATAGACCAGTATGTATGAACAGCTTTTCGGGGATCAAAATTTCTTTTAAGGTAAAAGTACAAATGATTGTGACCACTGCCCATTTGTTGGCCACTGATGGAAGATTAATTCTTTTTAATGCTTTATAATTGCAGAATCTTCTTTCCAGAAGATTCGGATAATTTATTTAATACGTGTTCTATACTACAAGTTATGTAATCCCATTTCGTAGTGAAATTATAAATACCGTTTTGAATCAACATCCTAAGATGTCCATTCATTATAGAATAATTCAATTCGAAAACATGAAATGTTTTGAAGCATGTATCGATAGCTTCGAGAACACTATATGTTTTATACAAAATGTCGTCCACTTGAACATAAGTTTCCTTAACTTCATAAAGGGATCCTACAATAATTATATAGGGTTGCAGTGTTAATTTTAACATCTCCGCATGTTTCCGTGCTTCCTCTAAGAGTCACATCTTCGGGAACCTAGAAGTATAAAATAAGAAATTATGTGAGTAAAATAATTTCATACGTCGAAACTTAATTTTTTTAAAACTTAAATTTATTTTAAACTCTACTAACATTTGCAAGTCTCATCAAGCTCATCATTTAGCATCAGCAATCGAAGGTATAACATCTCCCTTTATATTATTTTAATCCTTTTGGCGGAAAGAAATGTGTAAGTAACGTAAGACCTATAGCCACTTTTGAATCTAAAAAAATTAATTTATTTTTCAATATATTTATATTTATATAATTACTTTTTATCTTCTAACATTCATTTTTTAAAATTATTATTAACAAAATATAATAATTGAGAGGCAGAGGGCGGTATAAAGGCACAATTCGACTTGGATCCTTTTTTTCGGAGATTAGCGCAAATAAACAAGAAAATCATGTCGTTCACATTACTCAAATATGAAATAAAAAGTGTGTTTCGATTGTCCTGTGGTAGTGAAAATGATATAATCTATGGAAAAAGGTATAATCTTTTACCATAGATTGTATAAGTTTAATGAGACTTTTACCAGAGATTGAACGAAAGTGGTATGACGGTATGACAATATATGTTGACAATACATTTAATATTGTTGTATTCATTTAATATTATACATTTAATATATTTGTCGTATAAATAAAAAAGTAGCAAGTTATTTTTATTTTTATAAAAATCAAGATTTTGTAATTAGGCCATTATTCTGCCTACCCCCTTGATTATTTTTTTTATATTTCGTATCCACGCCAATTTTAATGACTTGACTATTACATTGAGTAGGCTATCAATGTTTCAAGATAATTGTATTTGTGTTTATTATATTAGTTTATATTATTTATTATTATATAAGTAACATGTATATTTCATGCGAGTGGCTCACCGCTCGTTGCGATTGACTTGCGATCTGTAGACCCGAGTTCAATCCCACGTGCGCCCAAACGCGGGTTTTTTGCGTTTAATGAGCCAAAAATGGCTCATCACCTGCAGGTGATCAAAAGATCTATTAAGGAGACTACATACGTGGTAAATAAAATTCACACATTACTTTAGCAACCAAAATCCTGCTTGACCGTCATTAGACCTATATATTTACCTTGTGTTTAAATACCAACGGTCCAACACATATCGTAATTTTAAAAAAGATTTCATTTTAAAAAAATCAAAAATATCATGTGGTAAGTTGATGAATAAGTGGAGAAACAGATCTTAACGCCGAATCCGATGACAGGCTCTCATCAGCGTCGTCATATCTCCACTTATTCATCAACTTGCCACATGATATTTTTGATTTTTTTTTAATGGAATCTTTTTTAAAATTACGATATGTGTTGGACCGTTGGTATTTATAAACACAGATAAATATAGGCCTAATGACGGTCAAGCAGGATTTTGGTTGCTAAAGTAATGTGTGAATTTTATTTACCACGTATGTAGTCTAGTCCCCTTAATCGCCGAAATCTTTTTTAAATACAGGTGGAACGTAATAGATTGTTGCTACTTCGTTCGGGAAAGTAGAAACAATCATTTTTGAAATATGTTTAGCCAAATCGTTTGTTAATCTATATAAAAAATATACACATATGATATACCTATACACATACACATAGAATATGTCTCAGAATATTTGAGACTATTTTTGTGCAGATAAAGTGAACTATGTATGGAAAAATCCTCTAATATTTTGCTATATGTATATATAAAAGAGTCCATTTTTTTTTCCTACAAAATGCCGAATAAACTGGTAAAATTAATGAGGCAACTTTACTAAGTATTTAACAATTTTGTAAGTTGTTAAGTATTTAACAATGTTGGGGAGACTACGTATATTAGTTATAATAACAAATTTGTGGCTCGTAGCCTTTTTTCCTATTATTATCTTATATAAATTTATCTTAAAATTGCCTTGTGCGTTAATTTTAGATATTCAACTCATTAGATATAACTATTCCGAAAATTGCAAAATGGTAGAGAATTTTTCAGCTCAGTTTAATCCTGCACACGAAAATAATCCTAAATTCATACAAATCAGTTCTGGGTTACTCTGTATATGTTTATCCAAATGCCACACGATGCTCGAGCGACATTTGATCTGCGCGCTGGGGAGTGAGATGAGGGGAACAGCGGAAGGCGGAGGCAATTCGAAAATTGGCCGAAAGTTGCATACACTTTCTGTATGTTCACTTTGTACTGGCACCTTTATTAATATTGTAATATATCAGTTACTTTTCATGGGGTAATATATTATTATTAGATAAAAAAGGTTTAAGTATCCTTTTTATTTTTAGTATCCTTTTTTGAACATGTAATTATAATGTATTTGTACTGTAACATTGTGAATTACCCGATCGGCGACGAAACGTTTATTTATGTAATTATTTTTATTTTTGTTTTTAAATTAAACGTTCTTTAATACATAACTAGCTCTTAGTCCTCTAATAGTTCTATTTTGTTATATATTTCTTCAGAAAAAAGGAAGATGCCATAATTTTATAGATTTCTTTGAAAAAATATTGTTCAGGTATAAATATTATGTTAATGTAAACATATAAAACTTTTATGTGATATCGATTTATATGATAAGTGGAAATAATATAAATCGCTTGCAAAACATTGCATAAAACACGCAAAAGTGTTTTTTTTATATATTTACGTATATTGTATGTATTAATATTGTAAAAAATATTTAAATATATGTCATACGTAAAAATGTGGGAAATAAATTTTTCAAATATTTTATTAATCATCAATATATAAAAATGTTATCTCCATTGAAGAAAAAGCAGACAAAAAGCAAAACAACGTATCGACTAATTCGTCCAAGGCAAATATAGCTTTATCAAAATGAGCTTTATCGTAATGGTCGCCTTAACTGTCTCCCTCCCAATATGCTTTTGTAAATTTTATTCTCACATATGCTCATTAATTGGATGGAGCACTAAGGAGGAAGAATGTCAGGGATCGCGTCGGTGGGATTATTTATGTACCTGTTGTACGAGTCAGTAGTCAGTAGTCAACAATCGGTAGTTAACAATCATGAATATCAACTTTGCAGGAAAGCGTATTCTTGTAACCGGCGCTGGTCAAGGTACATTTTTGTTTTCCATATTAATTTCATATAATTTCATGAATTTGAACGCTTCTGTGTTAATTTTTCTCAAAAGATACTTTCTAAAATGAAAAAATTAGTACTACAACTTCTCTAAGGTAACACTATCCATAATACTGATCAGTAATATTGAATCAAATAACGTAAAATTAATGAGCATACAGCCACAAGCGCAGGATGTTGATTACCAAGTTATATATTTCAAATTAATTAATATAAGAATAAACGTTTCGGTCACAATCTGACCATCTTCAATACAATTAAAAAATTTTTATACAATTATTCAACAATAATAAACAAACTAACTTTTCGATGTTTCTTCGTTCTTATTTGCATCTACGAATTCAATCGTTGTCACATTTAAATTTATAGCTCTGTTTCTAATCCCGGATTTCCAGATTCTGAACAATGATGAATTCAATTATGAATTGTACAAATTATTTGTTTTCCATCATAAAAACTTACCAGTATTTTTTTTTTTTATAAGAACGGTGGTTTTAATTTTTGTATGTCAGTAATATAACAGTGGGCTCTTTAAACCAACGGAGGAATCTTTTTCGCTGTTTTGTTAGATTGCTTGAGATGTTTTTGTTTAATGGTTCTTCACATGTCCGAAGTCTAAACTGTATTTGTATGTGTGATAGAGAAACGAGGGAAACACTAAAAAGGGAGAGTAAAATATTCTATTATGGACACGAAAATTTCAGGAAATCTCTGTGTATCGCTTTGTTTATTTAAAGATATATCTTGTTTTTTTATATGTGTCATCTTCGATATCATTCTTTTATAATAGGATGCTTTTGAATTGAAAATTTTTGTTTTGCGTCAATTTTATGATCATGTTTTAATTGATGTTGGAAAACAACCGACATTCCACAACGATGATCGCTTCTTTATATTCGCTTTATGTTCTTTTAAGGCCGATTGTTTCATCTTTTGGTAACGTTTATCTACTTGGTAAGTAGCAAGATTATCCAATCACGTGCGCGAATTGCCAGATTTACCTAACAAGTATAAACTCCACCAAAAGATGAAACAATCGGCCCATAGACGAGTGTTTAATTTTCGTTTTGTTTGGCTCACGTATG